AATTAAACGAATACTATGTCAATGGTCTGAATTCAAACCTTTACACACACGAGTCACATTGTCGGTGTTTGTCGAAGCCGCAGATCTCCAAGCGAGGTCTTCATCAGACACCTCTCCCGTCCTACAAAAAGGCCTGGTGTCACCGAAACAACAACTTGCTCTTACTGTCGCAGAGTTTCACATAGAATTTAATCGCGCACCAATGATCTAACGATCGCTGCACTTTCGGGTTGTACCACTTACAGAAACACATCGCGCTAAAATTTTTGTCCTGACTCTCCAGCCGCTCGTTCATTAGCTAGGAACGTCCTCAACCGAATCCAGTCGGTTGCTCCAAAGTACGGCCGCGGCAGAAGAAAATCAGTCCAATTACTTTCCGAACAAACCGTGTACATTCACATTTTTGTCAAAAAAGTTGAAATCCGGGTCTGTCAGTCCGTCCATGCAAGCTGTAGTTCCAGTAACAATTGAGATATCTTGTAGAAACTTAGTGCAACAAAATAAAGACGATTTCGTAATCGGACCAATGCCACGCCTACAAAATACCATTAGCCGAAAACGCATTGAACAAACGAGGATAAAAAAGAATACTCTTATATTTTTCGGTACATTTTAATTTAATTAAAGATAAATTTTGACACGTATTTAACAATAAAAATGGTAGGGATGTAAAAGACATTCGCTTCATGCCAAGATACGATCGAATAAATGAATCGTATTTAGTTGAAAATTGGACGATGTACAGAATCCCGGTAAAGATAATTGTTGTACGCCGCGTGTAGGATTGATCCGGTTTATATTGTATAAGCGAGAGTTAATTGCAGCGCGAGATCGGTGATGAAAAAACGTATGTTGATGTGAGCACTGCATGTGACGAAGTGTGATGGCGAAAGGTGTCGACGCGACTCAGTGTGTCAGCGAAAGAGTGTATGACGAACGTTGACGTGCGAATTGTCCGTAAGCGATTATCCAATTCCTTTTTGTGAAGTTGATGGTGTATGGTGTCGTCGTGCGGTGATCGCTGGCTGAGTGTGGTGGTGTTGTCCTAGGGTGCGCCAATTTTTCCCAAGCAGAGTGGTGTATAAATGCGGGGAGATGCTTAAGTCATTTAAACATACTGGGCCCCCTAAGCAAACTTTTTGCCTAGTATTACATATGTGATGTTCAATGTATTTCGGCGGAAATGAATGTTTGAAATAAGTAACTTCAATATGTATGATCGGGTCATATTTAAATATCCTTCATATCTTATGACTTGCCGACTTGTATTATTTTTAAACTCGTTTATATATAATATATTGGCCAGAATGGGTACTCCTTAGCCCTGGAGTTATGGTTATGAAATTAGAGGGCACTTGCGAGAGAATGACCGTGAATGGAGAACGACTTCGACTCGTCGAGTAGAGAATTCTCCATAATTAATTTGATGCTTTGCATAGCCGATTCTCATAACCCACCCATATGAATAACGCTTGGATAGATGCGATAAGAGCGACCTTTGCCTTTTCTAAGTGTAGGTGCGTCACTGTATCGCATTGGGATTCCTTTTGAGATTTTATTTATTTTTGAAAATGTATGAAATGTGTCGATTTTTCGACTTTTAGATACAACTATGTTGTATTATATTTTATGTTTCAGGGCGTGTGCACTAATTTGGCGTTTAGTAGCCTGCCACCGCTCTTGGTTTTGCTCAGATTATTATTTTTCTTTCAGTATTGGCTGGGCCGAAAAGTTGTATGTGCTTTTACTAATTTGGACTGTCAGAGGTAACTCTGACTTTGTTTTTTATACTGATTTGTGGAATATTGGGAAATTGTGGCTCTAGTGGTAGTCGCACGACGTACCGGTCATTATTTGATTGAGTAGTTATGGGGGGAAGTTTCCTTAACTTTTGACATTTCCTTAATTGTGAATTAAGGTATTTGTTTTTATTAWACTCAACTTGAGTTGGTATGGTGGTGACCAGTTCTGTAACTAGTCCATTTTGTGTTTCGCTGTGCACCGTTTGAGATTTATGTGCATTTGAGCAGCAAGGTGCCTCTTGGCAATTTTTAATATTTTGGCTTTCGGGATTTGCTTTTGTAATTAAACCCATGGTTCTTTTTGTATATGCGGTCCTTTGAAGTGAGATAGGATATCTGCTGCTATGAAGCATTGAATTGTGTCTTTTATGACAATACAAACAGTTAAATTTGCTTTTGCAATTTTTAAGATTGGGTTCATGGGACAAGCAGTTTGTACAGAGTCTTTTTGATCTGACAAAGTTTTTCCTTTCGTTAATATTTAATTTTTTAAACTTTTCGCAAGTTTTAAGCTTATTCCCTCTTGTGCATAACTACGCACTTATTTAAAATATAAACTCTAATTTGACACAGAATATTGCAGTAGAGAGGGTCATCTGTGGAAATAAAAATTTGGAAAAGTGGGCGTAGACGTACCCTCTAATGAGTTTATTATAAAATGTTTGATATATATTTTCTACACTAAACTTACAGCAACCAACTTCGCCCAGCGCAAATATTATAAGAACTCCTACCGGCAGGGTGGCGCCAATTGGATATTCCAGGCGAAGCCAGGTCCTTCTCCAACCGTCCTTCCAACGAAGTGGAGGTGTTTCTCTTTCTCTGCTTCCCCCGGCTTGTACTGCATCGAATACTTTCAGAGCTGGAGGGTTTTCGTCCATTCGGACAACATGACCTAGCAAGCGTAGCCGCTGTCTTTTAATTCGCTGAACTATTTCAATGTCCTCATCGTTCCATGGAATGCGACATTCACCGTGGCCAACGTGCAAAGGACCATAAACTTTCGCAGAACTTTTTCTCGAAAGCTCGTAACGTCAACTCATCAGATGTTGTCATCTGCCAGACCTCTGTACCATATAGCAGGACAGGAATTATGGGTGACTTATAGAGTTTGGTTTTTGTTCGTCGAGAAAGGACTTTACGATTTGAGGCGATTGAGAAGCCTACTCAGTCTAAAGTGGCACCTGTTGGCAAGAGTTATTTTGCGTTAGATTTCCAGGCTTGCATTGTTGATAGTGTTGATGCAAAGTTATAACCGTCAACAGTGACGTGAGGGCGAAGTCGCGAGTGCGGCGACTGTTTCTTTGATGACAGGAGATATTTTGTATTGCCTCCCATTTGCTTTACTTCCCCAGCAGGATAATTATTCACCGCTTACATTTTTCCTTGAAGAATACTCCGAAGAAAGTTCTATGCAGAATTCTTCGATACTAGGTAATAAGCTATGCGGTTAAATTCTACTGCGTTCATATTTACAATCAAGAAAGTACATGAAAAACGTTATAATATAATATGTAAACAACAAACACAAGTTGATGAAATAAAATTTATAAGTAAATAGTTTGATTATAAAATCGTCAAGCATTTGAAGAAAATTTACAGAAAGTTGGTTGTATTTAGGTGAGCTGCTATTTTAATTAAAAATTTTGTTTAATTTTGCGTTTAAACTTTGAGTAAATAAATAATATTAATATTCTCGGAAAGACATATCAGAAGACTAATTAAAAATTCAGAAAGTGAAACACGTTAATGCGTCATTTTTGGTAAGTTTTTCGTGTTTTTATCATTGGTGGAAATTTATAATTACATACGGTTTAATCTTTTTTTGTAGAATGTGTAAAAGTAGAAGGCTTCACCCTTGATATGTTCACAAACTCAAAAAGCATCAGACTCACCAATGGCCCTTTATTTAAGTCTCGTTGCTTGGAAAAGAAAAGAGACTCAGCCACAAAATTTAAAGAAAACCATTCCTTTTTATACATAAATACTTATTTTCATAACGAATTTTATACATGTATTTTCATAAATAAAGCAAAATTAATTGCAATTTTTTCTATTCTACTATTGACCTTGGCATCGAAGAATTCTTTGTTAATTGAGGCATCGATGAATTCTTCGTTCCTATGGTAAGCGAAAGGAATGATCTGTCATAAGACATCGTCGTGTTAATTTTCATCGTTCGGAGTAAGCGATAGAATCATGCGGCATCGTTTACCTTGCTCTCTCTCTTACCAATGTCTGCCATATCCCGCTGGGTCCTTTTCCAATCTGGAGAGAGCATAACTAACGGCGCGCTTGTTATGGCCAATGATATCAACATCATCAGCATACGCAAACACTTGTACACTCTTGTAAAAGATGGTTCCTTCTCTGTTTAGTTCTGCAGCTCGAATGATTTTCTCCAGAAGTAGGTTGAAAAAGTCACATGAAATAGATTCGCCTTGTCTGACACCTCGTTTGGTATCGAACTATTGACTGATCTTCTGGTAAACATCAGTTTTTCGTGCTGTCGAAAGCAGCTTTGAAATTGACGAAGAGGTGGTGGGTCTCGATTCTACTTTCACGGGTATTTTCCAAAACTTGGCGCATGGTGAATATCAGGTCGGTTGTTGATTTGCCAGGTCTAAAACCACATTGATATGGTAAAATCAGTTTGTTGACGGAGACGCTTTGCTGAGAAGGTTTTCCCCACGGTAGTTCGCGCAGATTGTGGGGTTTCCATTTTTGAGGATTGGGCAGAGCACACTTAAATTAAAACCAGCTTTTTTTTTGCATTTTCCGAAAGCCAATGGTTTCGGTTTCAGCTGTACATAAGGAGTGTGAAATGCCATCCCACAGTTCCCTTATGCCGAGTTGTTGACGAGTGCTCTCAGAGAGCAGGAGTGCAAGTCGAGTAGAAAATCGTTCGGCTGTCCGTTGTGCTTGCAGCTTCTCGACGTCGAACCTTCCTTGTGTTTATTGACGTTCGTTTTTTGCTGCTTTTTGGTCCGAGTCGATGTTAGGACCTCGGGGCGCACGCACACTTATAACACTGGAAACGTGCCTTCCGTCATGATTCAGTTTCAAGCCCTTAGGTACGAAATATGTAAGCCAAGTTCTTTTAGTTGACTTCTTACTGTAAATATCTTTGCATATTTAATTTTAAGAAAATCCTTTCCTGATCGTATACACTTAATACAAAGATTTTCGAATTTCCGGATGACTTTATACCGGCCAATTGAGAGTTATATTATTGGTGACCACTTTCTTTCAGTTGGAATCGGAACATGAAATATTGTTGAATAAGACAAGTAATTTATAAAATGAAGATTAAAAATTGAAAAAAACGAAAATATATTAACAACCACCGAAATCTCCATATAACAATATTGATGATCCTAGGAATTAATTTTTTTTTTGTTCATACTATTTAGTTAACAATTTAAAATTCGATTGTTTAAGATTCTTTATGTTAAATATAATATTTCTTGTTTAATAAAAACAGCAAGTAATCTAATTTATAGTGAAGTATGAATATCTACCCTAAAAAATGTCATAGTTGATCCTCCTTCCAAGGTTCCATATGAAATATCACTTTGCTCAGCTAAGTCAGAAGCACCCTCGATCGGGGTTATCATACGTTCTACAGTTAGGAATGCAGCCAAGTTAGCAGTATATGACGATATAATAATTAGTGTAAAAAACCACCAAATTGCTCCAACAATACGAGTTGATACTGCCTGCAAAAAATATACGAAAAATTTATGTCAGCATTATTATATTGGTAATAACAGGACGTACGCAGCTATACATGACATTTAAATTAATAATGTTATGTAAATTATATAATGTGCGTTCCAGAGTAAACAGGACATTTAAAAAAACAGCAGAACAAATGGTTTTTTTCAGCAAAATCAATTTATTTTTTTCAAAATAGTCTCCTTCTGCTTTAATACAGTTTTTGTTGGTCGGAATGGCCGCCTGTATGCCGATGCAACAAGCCTTTTGAATGGCATCTATGTCTGCATAACGCTTTCCTTTCATGGTCGAATGTATTTTTCCGAAAAGGAAGAAGTCGCACGTTGCCACATGAGGTGAATACGTTGAGTGATGGTTAAAATCTGATTTTTGGTCAAATAATCGTCCTTCGAATGTTGGATTCTGAGCAATTTTTGGTCGTCAGCCAATTTGTGCTGAACAAACCGTACACAACCCTTTCGTAAGCCCAAATGTTCGATCAAAATGCCATAAATCGATGTTTTGGAGATGTTTAATTCCATTTCCATGAATTTCAATGATGATTTTGGCTGATTTTTGATGAATTGATAAAACGTTTCAGTAAAAGTTTTACTAATTTTAAAACAAAATTTAATGATGGGTCTTTGTTCGAAGCGAAGTAAATGAAATATCATGAAATTCTGACTAGACAATCGATAAAAATAGCAGATTTTAACGCATTAGTCGATATATAGATGGCGCCACCTGTTAACTTTGGAACACAGTTTGTAATATCAAACTGTTTGATTTGTATGATCGAACCTTAAACTCAAATAAGAATCTTTAAGCAGACGACGCAGATTTTTGCGAGCCACGGAAAATATTTATAATTGTAAAATATTTTAAATGGATAAGAACTATATTTTTCTCACTTCTTTCTGTGAAAGTTGATCAATTTATGATTTTTAGCTTTTGCCATCATCGCGAAAAGACGCTTGTTGGCAAAGGCATGCTCTGATGTAATGGTGTTTGTTTTTACGAATGAAGCGAGTTTGCTTGTTGAAAGTGCACTTGCCTTAATGAATGAAAATTTTATTGTTCTACAAATTTGGGCATCGACTATTTGGCTGCCATATAGACTTGTGACGCTGCTAATAGAGACCATTGTTGGTTATGTGGAACAATATTTGTAGTTTTTGCGGCCGACATATTTATTTGTGAATTTATAATATATTATGAAACATATGAAATATTTAAAAAAAAG